GCTGCTCCCCAGGCTTTAAACATACCATCAGAATTTCTTACCAGCTAATTGCAGATAACGCATGTTGTTGCTTCTTTGAACTGCATTGACCTTTCCTCTCACTTTGTAATGAATTTATGAGTTCATGCTGAACAAAAGATCCTGGATGTGATGCCATATTTAAAAAAAAATTGGTCCTGAACTCTTAAGTGACCAGTCCAAGTCCCTGTGCCTTACAGCATGGCTTAACTGCTGAAGTGACCACCCCATTTATGGGAAGGCATTTGAGTAGTTCTGAAAAGTTTCCCTTTAAGGCCTTTAAAATATGATGGAGGTAAGCAGAAATCATCTTGCCCTATATAGAGAATGCCTTTATTCATGCGATGTTAAGCCAGGCATAATTGTTAGAGCTTTTGACCATTTCTTGAGTGTTGTCCCAAAAGGTGGAAATATTAGGTAGTTTTTGAGTTCCAGTTCTTCCTTTGAGTTCAGCTTTAATCACCCTCAGCTCATTGTCTCAAAAGTTTAAGCATGTTTTAAAATACCATGTGGTTAAGTAACACTGACGCAGGTAAGGAGCCTGCATTCTTGAGTTTGAAAGATAAGGTACGTTTAGGAGAAATTGGTGTTAGAGTAACTTACCGTAAACATGTTGCTTTTTCTAGATTAGTTATGAACATGACACTGGGTAACTTGTAGTGGGACCTTTTATCTTTCTGTGAGGGTATAAGGAACCAAGTCTTTAAAGGTGAGGAGTGGTGCACTTGTGATAGTTCGTTTGAGAACCCAATTGTTATAAAATATCCTTGACTTATTTTTATTTTCTATGAAGAAAAGCTCAACAGATTCGTTGTGCATGATGTCCTGTTTGTGTCCCATTTGGTTGCAGGCTGACCTCTGTACAGGGGATGGACTCCCTACCTGTTGCAGAATTTGAAATGGTTCCTTGCTAATTTTTATACTTCAGTTTATTTGTGTTGTTGTATCTGTAATAAGTCTGTGCATTTGATAAAAACGGATTTGCAATTAGAAGTGCAATAGTCTGTTTTACTTGGAGGTATTCCAATTTTCAATATTGAAGCAATACAATATGCACAAAAGTAGATGTTTCAATGAAATAAAAACTACCAAGTAGAGTGTGGGGTTTGTGGTGAGTTTTCCAGATCTGTTTTATAGACTTACTTCTGAAAAAGTACAGGTAGAGATGTTCCCTCTACCTGAGTCCAGCTTACACCTAAAGTGATCTGATTTACTGAGGAGAAGCATATAATTTCTGTAGAAGTGTCTGTTTCCATTTCTTCTGTCCTCTCCTCCGTTTTTGTCAGAAGTATGCATTACACCTGACACTGCAATATGAATTTTAGCCTGGCAATATTCTTTCTGCATGAAGAAACTTGTACCTTTTGAGGAACCTGCCATGTTCTGTCAGGGATCTCTAGCAGAAGGCTTTGCAAACCTACGTCTGCAGCTTTCCTTAGTGCAGTTACTGTACAGTTAACTGCTTTCCTGAAATACTTACGCTTCTTGGGAGTTCAAAAAGTGGATGAGAAGCTGGTTGGAAAGAGGCACTTAGTTTTAACTGCTTCCCAAAAATCTTGACCCATGTAGAATAAAAAGAAAAACAGTGTGAATCCTGGGAGGGGAACCAGTGTAGCAGTTCTCTTCACCCCTTGCCACCCCGTTCTGTTTCCTTCTAATTTTTGACCGTCCTGTAGTATAAATGGTTTCCTGTGATATGGAAGAGGTCTGCTGCATCCTCCTGAAGGCATGCTAATGGATCAACATGTAAGCCAGGGACCTTTTATGTAATTTATATGTACCTGAGAGTCAGGTACTTTATAAACAGACCCTATTTTATAAAAGCCCCTTCTATGGAGCAAGGACTTATTATTAGAAAAGTGCTTGCTCACATGCTGGGTATGTTTCAAAGCATGTTTCAAAATCAGTGTACTGTGTAAAGTTTTTTGTTTGTTTGTTTGTTCAGGAACTTAAGGTGTTTGTTTTTCCATGCTTCAGTGAGAAGCCTAGTGCAAGTGATGTGATTCAAAAGTTACTCCAAAGGAGCCTGAGGCAACTCACACTGGAAAAATTCTGCCTCTAGTTTGAGTAATTTTCATGGTACTACAGTTTCAACTAGATTATCATGTTAGGCCTGGGTGTATTTATTAGTGTTTAATCCTTTTCATGCTCCTGCAAATGCACTCTTAGTAATTCCCTTTTCCGTCCCCCTCTGCCCCTGTCAGTCTCTCCTTTGTATTTCAGCACTTAAGCATCAACTTCATGTGCAGCTGAACCACTGCAGAAGGGTGGGTGCTAGATCACAGTCATGGGCTCCTGACAAATGAGGTTACTGCTCTGTGTCTGGCAGGGGAAAACTAAGAAGATGGTCAGGGGGACTTCTGCACAGCCTGCAGCGATGGCTGGTAGCCTTGCCGGGGCGTAGGATGAGACCCAGAGAAAGAGACAGGACTCATGCTTGGTGCTTGCCTTGACCTCTGCAGTACTCGCGTTTATGTTCCCCTGCTGTCCTTATGTCCCTTCTGGAGCACCCCACAGCAAACCCTCCTGGGAGAGGTGGGACAGGACAGGATGGAGCACTCCATCAACGACAGCAATGACTGAGAGTGATTTAGGTGTGGGGTTGCTGCACCCTTATGAAGCCCTCAGTGGGGGGCCCAGGCCACTTAGGCTTTACTCTGGCAGGTATCCCAGTGACCTTGCTCTTATTTCTTCTCTTTGATACTTAGTTCCGGCTCCTCTTTGTCATCCATAGTTAATATTTTAGCTATGGGTAGTTTAGATAAGGGAGGTGATTTTTTTCTTTGCACAGTTCAAGGAGGAAACTTTTTAATAGTTGGTAAGCAAAATAGAAATTGGAAGCAGAAGTAAACAGTGAGAAGAGGAATTGGTTTTTCTGGTCAGTTATTCAGGAACAGAAAAAGGAATTAATTTTGCATAGGCTAAGAAATAAACCCAGAATTTTTCAGCTACTTTAATGTGTTTTGGTTTTTTTTTTCCCCCATGATGTCTGGGGAAGAAAAAAAAAAAGAAAAGAAAGTATTTCACAAATCATTAAGCTTTCTCTGGGGATTTTGGTATCACTTACTGTTAGTTGACTTTTTCCCATTACTTTAGTGAAATGAAAACGAAATCTTTTTCCTAGGTTTATCATCAGGAGAAAACATGCCCAGCACGTCAGAAGTTTCTTCTTCTTTTGCTTTCTTGTAATGTCTCAAGTATTTTGAAATTTGGAAGTTAAACCCTATTTTTGTTCTCTGCATCATTTGATGCTATTTTATGGGCTTCAATCCATTGGTTTCGAAGACCACATGCTGAAGTTGGTGCTCAGTTTTCTGTGAGCATGGATAATTTGCTATCTTTTATATTTGAATGAATTTTTGTGTCTTTTTCTTGCAAGTTACAGGGCAGTGTTTAGCGTTTTCTGATATTACACGTATTGGTCTCCAAATTCAGGTCTCCATTTTAAATAGATGGGTATAATATCTGGATATATTTATAGCTGAGAAGCAAACTGGTGCTGAATGTTATCTCACGTACAGTTTTAAAACATGTTGTGTCCAACTTCTCCTTGGCTTTGAAAGCATCATCAATAGTGTGTATGAATGCAAAGAGGAAGTATTTGGTGTAAGTCTCTTTGTACTCTTATTTCATTGTTTCCATTAATCACTTAGGAGATGGACTGGAGAATGTAGTTCTAAAAACTGCACGTGGTGCCAAGGGCTGGTGAAACCTTTGGAGGCTGAGACTGGTTCTTTTTGTTTTTGGTTAATGGTGAAGGAACAAAAATACAACAGGTTGGAAAAATTACATGTGCAAAGGGGAAATGTAGTATTGCACAAAACTTTCTAGATACTCCAGTGACATAAGCAAACATAGCAGACCCATTCCCCACTGTCTGCCATCCTTCTCCATAGGAGGTTGTTTCTCTGCAGGATGTACAATATAAGGGAACTGAATATAAAGCTGCTTCTAAATTGCTATTTGTAGGTGTTGTAAACCAACTTGGAGTTACTTTAACATGCCAGCTTGCACATCATGGCATTTGGATAACTTTTTCATGCATAGCTTGGTTCTGCCTGCTGGCAGGGGGGCTGTAGGGGAGTGGATAGCAAGAAAGGCCAGCAACTACAGCTGGCCTCCAGACTGGAAAGTCTTTTTTGGGGGCAGCAATTGCTCCAACTCTCTAAAATGAGTTTGCCTGTATTTATGTCAAGTGCCAATTTACAGTGGGGTGCTGCTGAAAGCTTTCTTGGATACAGTGGTGCGTATGCAAAAACCAGGAGATTTTCCACTCTTCTTATGGCTAAGACTTCACTCGAAGTGAGCATCATGTCCAGTTCGGAGTGTCGTGCTTAAAGAGGAGCTGGAGAGATTCCAGCTTAAGCTCCAGAACAGTGATCTGTTTGAAAAATATGATCCATAAGGAAGAGATGAGGTGATTTGGGTTTGTTTAGAAAAAGAGAAATTGTTTAAAGAGTGGGCAACCATGCTGATACTTTTTCAGTATGTCAAGCATTAACACCAGAAATGCCTGTGGCTAGTTACTCTCTGTGTTCCAGGGGGCAGGATTAATTTCCAGGAAGAAAGCTTAAGATTGTGGTGGTTGACTTGTTTGTTTGGGGTAGTTTTAATTCTGTAAGGATACTTAATGAAAATAGTGGAAGAGGCTGGCTGGGGAAGTTGTTGCATCTTGGTTGTGGGAGGTTTTGAAGAACAGGTTAGACAGACACCACTTATGGCATAGGTGTTACTTATCCAGCTTCAGAGCAGAGCTGGAACAGTAACTTCTTAAGGTGCCCTCAGGTCTTTCCACTTCAATTCTGTGGTTATATACATATATATGAGGAAAAACCGGAAACGCAATGAACTCCATATGCTTTTGATCTTCTAATCTGGTTTGCCTTTCACATTTTGAGCATCTGTAAATCACGGCACAAAACGGGGAAGAATCATTATCATTATGTTCTATATTTCAATTTTACGGCTTCAGGTATGAAAAGACTTGCAGGCAACAGAAGTGAAAATTGATGCTAATTCTCTTCCCTCCCTCTTTTCATTTACAGGTCGCCTGGTTGGTGCCCTGGACGCCGTGTTAGACTCTAATGCACGTGTCGCTCCGTTTCGAATTTTACTCCAAGTTCCAGGCTCACAGGTTTACTCTGCCATTGCATGTGGTGAGTTATTGAACGGATCAGAAGTTTACTGGGCCATAGCTATTGGTGAGTCACAGACGGAAAACCCCAAACCGATTCTGAGCATGGTCAGTGTCTGCATGTCCAAGAAGCTCAAGGTAACCCCAGCTAGTACTGTGTGTGTGGAAAGCTATTGCCTATAGCTTGTTTTACTACCAAATTAATCTCTGGTTGAAATTGCAGATAGGAATTATGCAAAAGCGTTAACTAGGAACATTAAGTTTCTATAGAAAGCTTGTTTAGCTGGGGGTGTTATGTATTAATTTTCTCTCTTTTGCAAAGTAATGTGGGTCTGTTCATAAGCATATCTTTTCCTACAGCAGTAATTTCTTACAGCAAGAAACTACTTATTCGAGGCTTTTGCCAGTCTAGGCTTTCACTTGCTTACTGCGAAACATCTTACCGCAGTTGGTTATAATGAAATATAACTGGGACGTTTGGAAGATGCTACATGATTTTAGGAGATAAAGTTGTCAGGGAAGAATGTCTAATTGCCTGGTCTGTTGTGCACTAATCCCTTTTGCAGTGTTTGTGCAACCTCTGAAGGCTGAGTTCATCTTCAGGAAAGCGATAAGGATATGAATTGCAGCAACCTTGCCATGGCACAGTAAAGGCCATCTGAGTGCTCTTGTTCCATTAATCCGTTCTTGCTTGGCCAGTCTGCGGAGCTGTTCTTATCCCTTCTTTTCCAGCCTATAAAATCCTAGCATCGAAATTTACAACAGGTTTTCCTTTGGCAGTGGTTCAAAGCTACATCAGGGGAAGTTTAGACTAGACTTTAGGAATCATTTCTTTACCAAGAAGGTGGTCAAACACTGGGAACAGGATTCCTAGAGAGGCAGTCGATGCCCCAAGCCTGTTGGTGTTTAAAGGCATTTGGACAATGCCCTTAAACAACGTGCTTTTAACTTTTGATCAGGCCTGAAGTGGTCAGGCAGTTGGACTAGATGGTCATTGTACGCCCCTTCCAACTGAAAATGTTCTACCTTACCCTACCCTACCCTTACTTACATAGATCAAGCCAAGTGTTGACATGTTGCTGATAGTGTTTGCCATTGAAGTCCTTTAAATGAAAGGGGCAATATATTTTTGCCCCCTTCCGCTATACAAGCTCATTCAGCATTTCTTCCTTATTTCAGCAGAGATCCCCGTGCGTGTTGCCCACTAATACTGGGAGTTCTTCCCTGTGCCAGATGTGTGTGAAGACGCTTGCATAAAGCCTGTGCTATTTTTGTTGTGGCTATGTTTTCTTCATTTTGCAATTGCTCTATGCAATTGCATCTATCTCTACCTCATCCTCTTTATATTTAAACAATGCCATCTCATGGCATTTTGAGCTTTGTGCTTACAGTCATCAGAGGCTTATAGTTCCCTATGACATCAGGTAGCTTTCACTGGAAAAGTAAATCCAATGTTGCTGTCGTGGGCCTTTTTGATTGTTTGAATATATGTAAATTTTCTTTCTGGGGCTGATTCTTGCCCTGTTCACCCTCTTATTGTCCATAGGGGTTATTTTGTATATTAAAGGAACTACAAATCAAAAACTTGCCTGGTTGGAATGGTTAAGGATTTCGTTGAGATAAAAGTACCTGATTTAATGTTTTCTAAAATTCAATTTGTCTCTTCTGAATGGAGGCTCAGCCCTGAGAAAATGAGGTTTATATTAATAGAACGGAAAGCAGAGGGCTCTGTTTTGTATGCTGCGTGGGTAGGACATACATGGTTGCCAGAGCTGCACAGAAATGAAAAACTATGGTAGCACAAGTTGTTTCTGACCGGTGCTGGCAATAGGAATTGGGGGAACAGCATCCCCTGACCCTTTTCTTAGAAAACTGGAAGGACTTAACCCTGTGCAGAAGTGGCCATCACTGCTTGCCCAGCTCTGCCCTGTCTGAGCAAGGTGCTTTGCTCAAACAGGATGTTAGGAGTTTTGTTACTGTGTTTGGAAGAAGCAGTGAGTCAAACTAAGGTCCCTGCTGTATAATATAGCAAGGACAAGGAGCAGCTCCAGGAGCTCCTGCCAGTCTCCTGGTGTAACTTCATTAGGCATGGCCATCATGTCATTAGGCAGTTAATTAAAATGACATTTTGTAATTGTATGTTGGCAGTCCTCTGTTCCCGGAGCTGTAGGCTTAAATGATAATATATGTGTAAGGGTCAGATCTGTGTTACAGACTTCTGCAAATCTCTGAGGGCTGCTAGGAAGTCTGGTCCCTGCCCAGCATGGCTGTTCTGGCAGAGATGTTTTATTCCAGATCGTTAATCATGTTATACCAGTACAGGGAAAAAAAAGAGGTTAACCTCAGCCTTGGTTCAGAATCACTGACAATTTTCCTTTCATAAGGCTTGTGGTCAAAACAGAAACCAAGTCCCAGTCAAGTGAAGTAGCTTTTGGGAGAGGGAGAGCAAAGGGATTGGCATAGAGTGGGTTTAAAGAAGAGATTAAGAGGAGTGAGGCTGTGGTTAGGCTGAATATACATTTGGCACAGGCACATGAAGAAGGTTGGTAAAAGATGGAATAAAATGCTGCGCAGAGCATTGGCACAGGAAGAGGAGTAAGGAACCCCTGTGGGACAAGGCCACTGCCAGAGCCCAGGCTCAGAGCAGTGTGAGCAGGGTGGATGCTGCTGTGAAAAGCGTCTTGCTCATGGCCTATTTCACAAGAGGCAGCCCACCAGCACTCCCATATGACTGGTATCTTTTAGGTTGCTCAGAAATAAATATTCAATTCAGTATTTGCTTTGTGCAGCCATTTTAGTATAAAATTACTGTATTTCTGGTGTTCTTAGCCAGCGATGCAGTTTGTTTACTTTACCTAAAGGGTATCTAAGTGTCTCTTCTTTCACGATTTTTTTTTGTTTGACCTTGATTAATAATATTTATGAAGTTCCATCACAAGATCTTCCTGTCAAGGAAGTTAAAGCTTGGAAAGTTTCCCTGCCAGTTGGCATTCTGCGTGGAAAACAGAGCAGGGGAAAGTGGAAAATCCTTAGCTAAATATATAATTTTTTTTGTTGTGAGGCAACATGTTGCATCTCTAAGAGATTTTATTTGTACACACAAATAAAATCTTGAGAAAATGGAACTTCTATTTGAGATTATTGAATAATAATTTTATTATTATATTAATCTGTGATTTGTAAGTCTCTCATTCCTTCCACTAGGAACGCATTAGGAAAAGCAACTTTTGTTGCCTTTACTTTTTCACCTATACTGTTTGATCTCCGCTAAGATCTGGAGGGGCCAGATTGTCCTGTATGTTGCCTGTCTTGGTCTGACTCTTCTGTCACCATATTGTGCAGTGACAGTTCAGTTTAAACCAGAAAGAGCCAAAGCAAATAGGTGGTGACTCAAATATTATTTCTGAAGTTAGTGTGAACACATTAAATTTAAAACAACAGCAGCAAAACCCTCAAATAAATCCTTAGAGAAGGAAGCCTTAAAGATTTGAAAGTCTGTATTTGTCCAAGATTTTGTGTTCACTGTATTTCTTCCCCAAACTGCTCTTGAGCCCCTTTAGGTGTTGCTGAACCAAACTCTTTTATGTTTAGGTACTTTAGAGAGCTTGTCAAATAGGATGCGGATTATGACCATGTATATTCCTCTCAAGGGGTGTGCGTGTGTGTGTGTGTGTATGCATGTGCACACCAAGGGAGGGAGAAAGGAAGATCAGGAACTTTTTGGGAACAGGACGTAAATCAAAGGTTTCCAGTGTCTGCTTAAGGAACGTCATGTCAGAATAAGCTGCAATCTGGCAGCTCAGGATGAAGTTCTCCTGTTTTTTCTGCTTCAACTTTTAATGCAGTATTTTCTGGCTGAGAGTGTTTGAGAAGATAAGACTAAAAGCACTAAGACTAATTCTGTAAAACAATGAGGTTTTTGTTTTTCTCTGACTATAACGCTGTGAATGAGACCTTTTGACCTGTTTGCTACCAAGAATTTTGAGGTTGAAAGCTGTTTCTCATAATGGATTTATGAAATACTGTGTTCCATTGCTTTCTTTTCTTCCTTTCAATTTTATTTTATAGGATGAATTTCAATAAATTACTTTTTGCTTTTCTAGGTGCCACTGCAGAGGAGATAAACCAGCACTGGGAATGGCTGGAACAAAACTTGCTCCATACTTTATCTGTGTTTGACAATAAAGAAGATATTGTTAGTTTTGTCAAAGGGAAAGTGAAGGTAAGGCAACTGTCTTACTTTCACTCTTCCCTATGTGATTACATGTGGTTTATTAGAAATAATGCCATGAAGTTGTTGTCATTCATATCTGGTTTTGTACTTATAAAAATGATTTATCGGTTTTCCGTGTGGCACTTGCACCTGGCCAGCATCTTTACCACATTTCCTTGGAAATGTCTCAAAACTGAAGTACCTAATTTAATCTTTATTCCACCCATCCCTTTCCAGCTTCACTGTTCTTCTCTTCCCTGTGATGTGCAGCTGAGCTTTCTTCAGCATCTGTTTTCAGTTCCTCCGTTTCTTCAAAACTTTATGTTAAATAATGTTTCTACCTTCCCTTCCTGTATCTCAGCTTTTCCTCCTGTCATGGTTTAATCACACAGTCCCCACAGCACAGGGACAGGGGACAAGGCTTTTGTGCAATGTCACCTGCATCATATGGATCTGGCATGGAAGCTGATGGTGGCTTTGCAGGATATGGGAGTCATCCCAAGCACTGTAGTGAGGGTGATGGCTGGACACATAGGCTTGCAGAAATGAGCATCCTTTTGGAAGCCTAAAGAATTTCAGAAGTAAAGGAATTTGGTGACCAGATTTAAAATAATGATGGCATGTGCAGTAAAACTCGGAAAGCTTGGTGTCCTGAGGAGCTACAAGAGGAGCACAGTGATGGCTGGTGGGGGTCAAGGTTTTCTGGTGACCACTGTACCTCAGGCTCTGGTGCAAGGTTTTCCTTGCTAAGAGTTTTAGTGAGGTGCTCTTCTCCCATACCTCCTTTTTATTGGTCTGGAAAATCTGTAGGAACATAATGGTTTTGGTCAGTTTCAACCCTGCTCCTGTCATCTCAGAGGGCTCTGAAGCTGGGGAAGAAGGGGACGGAGAGGCAAAACATCGTGCAAATCTTAGTGTTTATCCTGCTTTATTTAAAAGAACCCTTTGTCTAGGGACATTGAAAGGCTCAAATACAATTAACCTCTCTTGGTAATGCTGTGGCAGCCTGTTACCTAGCACAGCACATACTTAAAATTCTTCAGGTTTCATTAGTTACTGTTAAATCCAGGCTTTGGACCCCCTGCCTTTCTCCAGGCTTTTGACATAGTAGGACTGCTTGGTAATTGCAAATTATACCAGGTGCTGTAATGTACAGATTATTTGTCTGAAAGACACTCAACTTCTTTGTTGTAATACCGCTATTAAAATTCTGAACACTTAATTATATTTATGTAGATATTCTTGAAACCATGTTTTTGATGGTTCCAAGCATGTTACAAGTTACTGACAGATGTCACTGCTTTGCCTCTTCATAGAAAAATAGTACTGATCAGTATGCATGGTTGTTACTCTACCTTTGCTCTGTATACCTCAAATAACAGCAATCATAAGCCACAGTGAAATTGTGAACAGATGTTTCTGCCAAAGTCATTGAAAAAGTTACAGTAAAAAAAAAAAAGGCCCTAGAAATCTTGATTTGGAAGCATTCAGGATGTGTGAGAGATGCAAACACCACAGACATTTCTCTATTTGTGACAACTGCAAATCAACTTGAGCTTCATTGTAAGAAAGAGTTGTGTTACTAAAGTTTGAATGGGTAAGCCTGTAGCAGCTTGCTCGAGCGTGAATGCCATAGCTTTATCCTGATACATTATCTCATTGTGGACTCAGGCGCTGATTGCAGAGGAAACGAGCAGCAAGCTCGCGGAGCAGGAGGAAGACCCTGAGAAGTTCCGAGAAGCCCTGGTGAAATTTGAATCCAGATTTAATTTCCCTGAAGCAGAGAAGTTGATCACCTATTATTCCTGTTGCTGTTGGAAAGGAAAAGTTCCTCGGCAAGGCTGGCTTTATTTGAGTATCAATCACCTCTGCTTTTACTCCTTCTTCCTGGGCAAAGAATGTAAGTGATAATGTGTAAGAAATCTAATGCTGGGGAGAGGTATAAATATGTTTAAGGGCAAGAATAGCAAGGATTTTTATGAAAAGCCTATCTCACCTCTGAAATTTAGTTTCTGGGGCTTTTTCTGTTGTTCAGCTGAAAGATCCTGTTTAATTTATTATTCACTTCAGCCTTCATGTTTATATTTTAGTAAGAAGCCTGTAATAAAAACGAGGCATGCAGGCACAGCTGCTATCTGGTTCTTTTTCTCGCCATGGTGAAGCAGCCTTAAAACGTAAAGATCTCTACAGATTCTGAAATAGAGACTTTTAGTGCCAAAAATGGTGAGTGAAGACAGGTCCCTCCCACAGGCAAGGAAGCAGAGTCGTTGCTGCCGGGCAGCATGGGAAGGGCTGGTGGGGCCAGCTGCCTGCCTGAAAATAGCCCAGGAAACGTAACAGGGCTGTGTCCTGGAGAGCCAGGTGAAAATTCAGAGGTTTTAAGGGAAAACAACAGCAATTTAGGGATTCCTTTGTGCTTCTGAATAGCAGTACAGGAAGGTCACAAAGAGCGTGTCCTGGGGTTTTTAAGACCTTCAGACAGTTCAGCAAGCTGTAAGACTTTGATCATAGTGTTCCTTTACAGAGGAAGGCTCATGTGGTTATGAAAAGCCTGTCAGAATAGATATTAGATGGTAAAAAGGAATGTAGCCATTTAAAGTCTATAGCATTTCTTTGTTTAGTAAGATTGTGCATGAATTGCATGTTTTAAGCCCTGTGTATCCTGCTGGAACTTCAGCAAGGACAGTAATATAAACCTAAACTGCTATAAATATAGCAGGAACATTACCATTTACTGTCTGGATTTAATATTGGGATGACTAGTCAAATAAAACTGTAGATTCAAGAATAAAGTACATTAAAGAGAAGAAAGATAGTAATTGGTAATTGCTAAGACTTGAAACATACAAAGGCATTCTTAGAGTTAGAGGTCCTTTTTCCCCCTTGTATTATTTCAGGCCAATTATTTTGTTGTATCTGCAAAAGGTGGCAGAGTAAGGTTTAAAATGTTTGTTATTCGTTATAAAAACAAAAGTTGAGTTTTGCTGGGAAGACTGGAATAGAGTCTCTTGATACATACTAGACACCAGAGTTCTTGTTTAATCTCCTTGTTTTCTGGTTAGTATTAAATAATATCCTTTCTCAATAATTTCTTCGTGCAGGCTTTCTCTCATTAAATCTGATATATCCAGTCTGCAAAAGCACACAAAGCAAAACCAATACTTAATAATGACAGATAATGGGAGAAAGAGGAGGGAGAGAGAGAGAAACCCTTTATATCGTTCCAAAAATACTGTTTATGCAATACCACAGGTTGTTAAATGATATTGGAAGTACAACATCAAGCTATTTTATTTAAGAAGAAATCGCTTCTCATTTCTTTTAATAATATTTCAATATGAAAATACAACCCCCCCCCAAACAACTACACGTTTGCATCTTTTCATTTTGACCGTGGAAAATAGACTGCTCATTCTCTGTTGCAGGCAGTTGCATTACCTTTGTGTTCACATGCACTTGCATGGAAACCCTAAATAAAAACCTGGATTTTTTTTTATTTTTAATAGACTTCCACAGCTCAGTGGGAAGCTTTATATGTTGACATGCTTTCCATTTCCTCCATTCTGATAAAGCAAATGACTGCTGTTTCAAAGCTAGTGTTTTGTCACATTTATAAAATACTTGTATTACATTGAATAATCCAGATTTACTATAGTTCTGATTGTTACTATTAGAGAAGCTGATGCTGATTATATGTAGAACGAGTGATTCCTTGTCATCTTTTTTTTTTCAGGTAGCAATCAGAAATTAAATCTGGTTAAATCAGCTCCTGAACATACTGCTAAGAAATCACATTTATTGCATTCTTCAATACAGCATAGGAAAGAAAAAACAATATATGGGTTGCAATAAAATTATTTCTTAAAAGTGTTTTAACTTCGTAAAAATTCCCCCAGATTTTAGACTGAAATCTGTTTACAGGCAAAGCATTAAGTCTTATGCTTCTGGCAAGTCTGTCCCCTTCCCCTTGTTTTATTTAATGTTGAAATGACCTGGAATGCAATATTGGAACTTGTTTTTGACTTCTCATAAAATTAACTTACAGCTTATGTGAGCATAAACACCATGGAACATTTTTTCCTGCACAAGTCCCCTTTTATGTCAGCCTTGAAGTATTTGCAGGATTTCAGAGGCTTAGAACACCACATTTCTTGAAAGAGCGTGCCAAGGTTTCTTCATATTTTATAATTAAACTTGTGTTTTTCTAAAACTTTGAAGGCTTTGTACCTTTCATCAGTAGTTTGGGCCCCTTACAGTCTGCTGTGCTGTCACTGTAACCAACACTGTAGAGCCTATGTGATGCTGACCTGCTCGAACAATAGTGCTATTGCTATGGCGCTATTTAATCTTTCTTCCCTCGGCTGTGCCGGTACAGATGATTTTATGACCATTCGCAACAGTTTATGCGTGTTGACGCAGCTGTGCTTTATTTAAGTAAGAAAAAATGTAATCTGCAAATAATCTTGACAGCTGTGGTTCACGTAGTACGGAAAACTTGCTGAGGGTAGCTCCGTAGGTAATTAATGATCATGGATAAGTGTCATATATATATGACAATGTTTGTTATTACTGCCTTTCTTATTGTTTTATTGGCATCAGGAGACTTGCTAGGGATGTTAGGGGGTGTATTCTTGATGTTATTGGCACAGAGAATCCTGGGAAGCTTCCAACAGTTGTTAAGAAGAAATTTAATCTATTTTAAAGTCCTTTCAGCCTAATTTCAACCCAGAGATTCGTATGAGAGAGGCAAGTAACATCCTGCAGTGGTTATCTAAAATAAGCTGATTCTTTTTACCATTTGTATTTATATGACTCAGCGGTGTTTAAGTATAGAGAACAGTGTCCTACACTTTTTCTTTTCTATAAATAAGTCTGACTACAGTTAATGTTTAGGACAAACTTGGCTGTGCACCTTTTCAGTAAAAAGTATCCAAAATGGGAAGATCCCAAAGCCTAGGCAGCTTTTTTTTTTTGAACACCCTGTTTATAGTAGTGATTAAACTTTATAAAAATGTCCATGTGCAAAAGCTTCCTTGTGTACAGAAGTTAGCTTTATTTGTTTTCCACCTGCCTACAGTTTTATTTCTAGGAGATTACAAAGCCTTTCCCTGTTACCTTCATGCTCTTGAAATGAACTGTTTCTTCTGTTAGTAATGAAGCAGGCTGCAGAAATGACTCGTAAAGGAGTTAGGAGTGCAGCATATGGCAGGTATTCTGCAAAGGCAGAACTCCCCTGTCCAGCACTTCATATGAAAATAGGTAAAATTTTGAGGGAGAGATTCTGAAAAAGACAGTCTTTTGGAGTGGAAGAGAAAGAATGTAGAGTAGTAACAGGCATTTCAGCTTTTGCTTGGACTTTGTCTGCAAAAACGGGTCTTTCTCCTCTTCGGAAAAGTTTGCATTTCATTTCTAATTTGCCAAAGGTTTCACAAATCTGAAAAATGTAAGCAGAGTTTCCACCTCACTTTTGCCTTTTTTCTCCGATCAGTGAAACTTGTCATTCCTTGGGTTGAGGTCCAGAAGCTGGAAAGAACCTCCAACGTCTTCATGACCGACACAGTCCGCGTCACCACCCCAAATAAAGAGCGCGACTTCTCCACGTTCCTCAATATCACTGAGGCTTTCAGGATCATGGAGCAACTGGCAGATGTGACACTCCGAAGGCTACTGGATAATGAGATCTTTGAACTGGATCCAGGCCTGCAGGATCCTACTCAGATTACCAAGAGGTAAAGAGCTAAACTGTTGTCTGAGCAGAGGTTCAGTGGTGAGCTTTGTGGTTTGCTGTGTTAGCTGGGTAGCATTTCAAAGCTTTACTTCATTGGGTGCAAAAGAGATTTTATAATGTATTATGGTTTATCCAATAGGTGCATTTTAACTTATGTGCAAGTTTTATAGTCTTCCCTTAAACATCACTGGTTGGTTGGTTGTTTTAAAAGTACCATTCCCCGTAGAAGGGTAGATTGCAGCAAGGGATATTTTCCATCTTCCATGAAGAGCATCATTATTTTGTTTATAATTTTGGCAATGTGTAGGCTTTCCTGGTGCCATCAGTTCTGCAAAATTGTTGCTTTTGATTGTATCTGAAACATGGAATTTCCCACTAATGTGATTGCTATAGCTGACTTAGCAAGCAGTTATTGGATTTAAAAACCCTGCAGGCAGTTGCAACAGATTAATATGCTATTGTCAGCTCTACCCTGTGTGTCTCCGAAATGCATCTCTGCATTCATTCCTCTCCCACTACAGAAATGCACTGGGTTTCAGGTAGAAGATTGATAACTATTTGTCTGCTAATAACACAACACACAACTGTATGTTTTATTTGCTGTTGTGGGAAAGGGGAAGGGAAACTGCCCAGAGGAATTTAGAGTGGGCAGGATGGAAGAGCCCAAACTGGAACTTGCCTGGGGCATCAGGGTTGAGGTGCTGGATTAAAATACTTCTTTTCTGAATGGGGTGTGAGTGTAGTGCTTATTCCCTACTGAATCACACCCTTGGCTGCTCTTCCTTCCTCCCCTGCTGCCAGAGGCATGAAGGGAATCACCCACGTGTTATTTCCTGGCTAAAACATACAGAATGCATGGTATTGTTTCCCAAAAATCCAGAGACATGTTCAGTAGCCATTTTATTGTTTCCAAGGGGCATTTTTGCAGTGGTGTTGGGTGTACATCCTGGCCAAACAGTTCTGCAAGGTTTCATGATGGAGTTTAAAAGACTAAAATGTACTTTCTCTGCAATTTCATATGTACACACGATAAGGAATATCCATGATGTAGTCAAAGAATTCATTTGAGGTGATACAGTGGTGAGCAGCCATAAGCTTCTTTTCAGGGTTTTTGTTTCTTCATAGCCATGGTTCCTTTAAACACAAGAGCTACTGTTGTTTTTACAATGTACATGTAAACTGGATGTTGCTAGCATTGTAGGCTTTTGGCCCAGGAAATGCAGGATATGTACTTTAACTAATGAAAAGAAACTAAAATTACTGTTGCAAAGAAAAGTGTGAGCTTAGTAATATGCTATAATGAGGAGGCTCTCAGGGAATCAACCTTTAAGTACTTTGTGGCATTTTTGAAAAGGTGTATGACTATTGGCGAACAAGCAACAGAAACCATCCCACACATCTATTCCAACAGGTTTTCTCCTCACCTTCCTTCCAACTCAAAGAAGTTAGGGGGGGCAGAGGAAAAGGAAGGGTAAAAATATATTTACTGTATACTTCCTGAGCAAGGTGTTCTCTAACCTGTGCTGACGTGCTGTAGCTTGAGATGGCAGAAGGGAAAACATGGAAACATAGAAGATGCCAAAATCCCATTTCCTCTGCATGAATTAGGTGGTGGTTGGATAAGTTGCTGTTTCTGGTGCCCTTTGTCACACTTCAGCAACCACTTTAATGTAACGTGATTAAGCAAGACTGTAATTTGAATAGTGGATAAACTGGTTTTTGATGCTGACATGTTTTGGGGGTGTTGAACTTTTTTGCGTGTGTGAAGTTTTTGTTGCCACTTTCTTTTCTGAAGCCATTTTAGTACTACAAGAACAACTATTTTCCTCTTGACATTTTCCCCGATAGTTGTCTTTGTTAATTCTTGCGCATGATTTGGAAGCAAACAGTAGTCTATCAAAATGGAAGCAGTAATCCGCACATCATTAGAACTATTCCAGCTGTGTCAAATTAATGAAGCTGCTGTAGAATGCTTTTGTTTGTTAGGCTTTTGTTTGCAAGAGGCTCGTCTTGGTATATTTATTTTTGAAAAATGCACTTTTAATACTGTTTTGGTCTGCACATTCTACATCCTGAAAACCAGAAACCTTTTCTGCAGTTCCTGAGGTTCTTGGGGTCATCCTGCTGACCATTAGAAATGGGATTAGGCCAACAGTCTGTGACACAAATTGTATGGTGGCCAGAGTCAAACAAGTTTTCATACGGCTTAGCAAGAGGATAAGGCTTGGTACAATGGATTACAAAGAGATTAATGACAATTGAGTTAATTGCCATAAAAAAGAAAGTAAAGCTGAGATGTTTGATAATTACGAATGCCATTTGTGCCATTGTGTTTGATAATTACAAATTTATGTGCCATTCAATTTTACTGGAAACCTACGGTAATGGTTTTTTTCTTTTTTAATAGGAAAGTCACTAAAATCTCTGCTGTAGCTTTCTTCTGCTTCTTATTTCCATCTCTTTCAGGATGCAAGAATATCCATTACATTCCTCAAATGCAGTGAGGAAATTGGCCTGAGCAGAAACCAAAATTTAAAAGCTTTATTGCTGGTGCCAGAAAAGTTTCAAAAGTATGATAGGTTTCTCCAGGCTCTAATCCCTTTGGTTTCTTTTCTTCATGTCTAACTGTGAATTGCCAGAGAGGATGGCTTTTCTTCATATGAAGGCAAAGAGGGTTTTTAACATTTATCTAAGCTGAAAAGAAACTATCTAAAGTATCCTGAGTCATAGATGTCACTTCAGTCTTACTAATTCCTTCAGAGAAGGAATCTGAGAACGCTGTAAACCTTGAACAACAATGAGGATGTAACTAGAAAGAACTTGCTTTCATTCCATCTGCCCAACAAAATCATAGAATTGTTTGGGTTGGAAAAGACCTTTAAGGTCATTGAGTCCAACAGTTAACCCAGTTAACCCAGTTAACTCAGATAACTGCCAAGTCCATCAATAAACCATGTCCCTAAGCACCACATCTACATGTCTTTTAAAAACCTCCAGGGCAGGGTTTGGACTGTATCACTCCTGACAGATGATTGCCTAACCTGTTTTTAAGGATTTCCAGTAATGGAAATATCAGGATCCATGCCAGTACTTCACTGTCCTATCACTGAAAAGTCTTTCTGAAGTCCAACTTGAATCTTTCATGCTGCTTTTTGAGTCTGTTACTTCTTGTCCTACCCAGTACTATTTAGGAGTTCAGGTGTTCTCTCTTTTTTTAGAGCAACCATTTGCGTATTTGTATTATCCTGTCATGTTTAAACTGCACTGCCCTAGTTAAGCCAGGTTTTTCTTATCAGTCCTGATTTCATCCCTTCTGCTTGCTGTTTTCTGGACATTCATCACTTTTCCTATGTGGCTGCAGGCATGGGGTGCATGCAGGCAATACAGGATTGCCCCAGATGCCTTGCCGATGCTGAACAGGGCAGGAGCAGCACAACCACCTCCACAGCAACACTGGACACTTAACATTTGGCTGGATATCTAGTCTAGCTCATGCTTTGGCAAGAAAGGGTGGACCAGGTGATCCTTGAGGTCCCTTCCAACCTGGTATTCTGTGATTCTATGATCTCCAGGACTGCTGTTTTGCATCTTGGTGGCCATGCACTTCTGCAGCCCATCACAGTGCTCCTTTGTCTCCTATGAGCACAAGGCTGTTGGCTTATGTTCGACTTGTGATCCTGTGTAACCCCAGGTCTTTTCTCTTTGCTGAATGGCTGCCGGTGGAGATGGTCTCCATACTGCATTTATACAGCTTACGATGTACAGCTGAAAGTACATGTAATGCTTTATTTCCACACCATCCGTAAAGTTTATGAATATAAATTTGAATCTGATCCTGTTCTTCTGCTCATTAGCCTCTATGAGTCTCATGATCTGTGCAAGTTTAATAACAACAATCTCTTGATCCATTGTGCAGATTGCTGATGAAGATGATGAACAGAAGCTAGACCTCCTGAGTCTTCCAATTCAGCAGGGAGCCTTCGAGGCCTGCTTTTTAGGGTACTCTTTTTCAACTGGCTTGGTACAACAATTTTCACTTTAATCCAGTTTTATTTGTTACATTAGGAAATAAACAAGATTTTCATAAATTTTGGCTAAAACATCCATTGCATCTCCTCCATCTAGAAGTCAAGTGCTCCTGCGACATAAGGGAATGATATTCAGTTTACATGTCTCCTGGCAAGTCCGTGTTGGCTCTTCTCAGCTAACTTCTGGCTTGCTTACAAGGAGCCTTTCTTGCCACACGAATTTGGCATTTCTGCCAGTAAACAAGACGTAGGTAATTGGATGTGTTATTTCCAAAATCTGTGACTTTCTGGAGTCTGAATAGCAAGAAGAGTCTAGTAATTGGTTTCTAAAAGCAAGAGGTCAATCAGTCTGCTAAGATTTTAGATAGGCAGCAAGTGACTCAGCAGAGCTAAAATCTTGCCAGGTTGACTTCTGTTAGACCTGAAGCAGAGAAAAACATTTGACAGTAAGGACATAATTTTAAGTGTGCTGATACTTTTAGGCATTTTGTTAGTCTTGTGTGTTATTTCCTTTAATTTAAAACTCTTGAAAGGTAATGTAGGGGTCACACACAGGGAGTTATCACAGTTCAGACTTGCCCTTCACTTTGAAGTGCTCGAGTTGGAGGCAGTCCAGGATCCCATAACATGCAAGTTGAGAACTGTGCTTCAAAAGAATTGCTGAGTTTTCCAAAAAGTAGGGAACAAGGCAATTGCATCTCTTTGTCTTCTATTCTTCTGGTGCCTGTGTTACTTAAAAACCAAACCAAAATGGAAATTGGTAAGTTAGAAGTGAAAATTTCAGCCAGGTTGAGCACAGGTAGGAAGGTTGCATTACTGTTTGGTGTTGGAGGTATTGTAAAACTCAACATGGAAGCTGTGGGACCTGGTGATATCGGCCAGTTGCTGCATCTTTGCTGTATCGTGTTTAAACAATTGCCTGTCTTGTTTTAGGAGCTAATTTCATTTGTGGTTTTGAGTTATATGTTGTTGTTTGATTTGGATTTTTTTTTAACCAGCTCTAACTTTGTTTGGCTGTGTTTATGAAGGGAAGCAATTGCTTTAAACCCTAGAATCTGCCTGCCTAACAGGAAATATTTTCATGGCGTGCCCCTTTCTAGTAAAACCTCTTGTTTGAGCCCACAGTGGAAGGTGCTGACAGCATTCCATCCCCATGCTACCATATTTTCTTTCTGGGATCCCTTGCATCAGCTGGCCCCTGTTTCAGCACTTGCCTCTGTGCAGCCCTGGCTGTGGTGTGGTCTCTGCGGTGGCCCTGTGTGACCCTGTGTCATGAATCACCGGGGGACAGGCAGTTCCAGGGATGTTAGGGTTGGCAGCCTTCCCGCGGTACAGGGTAGGTGCAGTGCTTGGTGGATTTACTTAGTTTTACATACGGGAAATTTATTCTTCATCTTAAAAACCTGTGGGTTCTTGCCTGAAAAGCCCTGCACCTGGAGCCTGCAGCCCCAGAAGTTGCAGCAAGATCCTGATAACCCAGAAACTGCTGATTTTTGAGCATTAGAAACAGTCACCTCCTAAATGACAGACAATCTCTGCCTCCACAGAGGTCACACTCTTCCATATAATGCCTCTTTTCACATAAAGGTATAGAAATTGTTGCAACTGAAAGATGCAGGGAGGGTCTTACCTTAGCACAATAGCAGGAGAGCACAGCTCTACCCGGACCTGACTGCAGATGCTATCAGCAGCGTTCATCTGTGCTGTGCAGAAATGGAAAATATTTTAGTGGTGAGTTAACTAGGAGGCATATCCTGATCCAGCTTTGTCACAATAGCAGATCGCTGCGGGCACTTATCAGAGTTGCTCTCGCTATGGAATTTTAACTCGGGAGCAACCTTTTTGTCTTCCTTCACAAAGAGGGTTTTTCTTTGTTGTGTGTGAAAAACAGGAGACTATTCGTCTGTTTTCCTTGGATAATGTTATTAAGGAAGATAATGCTTGAGAAGGAAACAGCAGCCGAATGCTGGTTGAGCATGTTCTGTCTTTTCTGTTGGTCACAGCTACAGATCCTCCCCTCGCAGGTCTCAGTTTGTTCTGGAATGTCTTCCTCCCTGTTTCACATGGCTTTAGATTTCTCTGTGGATTAAACTGAAATAAAAAAACCCCAAACCAAACGATTTACTTACTGAAGCAGAGGCTTCCTCTGTCTCAACTTATTTTTAAACAGCAGGGCTGGGGTAAGGGGGAATTATCTACAGAAGAGGAGGGCTAGCGAAGGAGTGGAGAGGGGATTTACACCAAGGTACCACTCCCTGTTGTACTTCAGCCCACGCTTAAAATTCTTTCAATGGAACAAAGTCAAGCTTTTTTTAATCTTTTTTTTTATTTTTTTTATTTTTAATTCCCCCAAGGTGAATCATGTTTGGAAAAATTTGCTTGTAGTAAAGAAAATGATAGAATTCAATTCCTAATGTTTCTGGAGCTGCTATCTGTGAGCTGATAGCCGTGGCCTGTTTATAATGTAATTGAATAGATCTTTGAATTACTGCAGACTTCTCCATTAAAGAAGGAGGAGGGAAAAAAAAAAATCCCCAAAGCCAAGCCTGTATAAGCATAGCTCAGTAATGAAAGCTTAATTTATTTAAACTTTTTCTCTCCGTGTAAATGCGGACGGGTGGGAGGAAGCCAAGTCCAAATTGAATGTAACTGGTGCTGTTATTCCCAGCTGAGTCTTTTAAGTGACCTGAAACCATTCTGCATTTTGCAGCTGTTCTGGGGGCTGTAAAAGGCTGATACCTGTGCAGTTCAAGGATTTGATGATTGTAAATACCACCATCATTAACTCTTTTATTACTGATGACACTGGAATTACTCATTGAGCAAATGGATTACTTTCGGATGCAGGTGCAAATCCCTGGGGTGATGTTTGTAATGCTCTTGGGAAGGGAAGCAAGGAACATAAAGCTCATCTCTGTTGCTCAGTGTACACTCATCAGATGAAAAATTTTGTTATCTCCTGGGCATTGAAATCTGTAACTCTGAGGCTGGAAAGTCATACAGCAGCCATAGAAAATGCATGGTTAAATAATAATTAATAAGACTCTAACAAACCAGCTAATTGAAATTAGTGTCCTTTCCTTTCCTAGTCACTGCAGTAGTTGCTTTTGACCTTATTGTTAAACAAGCAAGTATCGATAATGATTCTTTGTTGTATTTCAAAGTCAGTCTTTTATCAGTGTGTTCACATAGGCAGTGATGATTGCTGTGCATGGTGCTTTTATTCTGTATCCCTTGCTCTTGGTGAGGCTAACAAGAAAAGCAAAGCTTCCACTGGATGTCCTGGCTTTTGGGGTCTTGTAATTCACTCTCACTCTTTTCTCTTAAGGGATCTTGAAGCCAGAGCACAGAATGAATTCTTTCGAGCCTTCTTCAGATTGCCCAGGAAGGAGAAGCTGCATGAAGTTGTAGACTGTTCTCTCTGGACGCCATTTAGTCGCTGTCACACAGCAGGAAGGATGTATACTTCAGACAGTTATATCTGTTTTGCCAGCAAAGAAAATGGATGCTGCAATGTTATCATCCCACTTAGAGAGGTAGAGTTGTTTGTTTCATTTAAGGTCCTTATCTGCCCTTTTCTGCTGTAAGCATCCACTGTTACCTGACTTATCTGCAAACTATCGTTTGATGAAGAAGAGTAGGATGCTTGTGTATATCTTGCCTACAGGATTGTTGTACAGGTTGTTCTGGGGTTCATTAGGGCATGAGTTCCTAAAAATACGGGTGATTCAACATGATCCTCAAAGCGAAGTACAGGCAGTTAATGCAGCTGGACAGAGCACTGTAAAAGCAATGTGCTCGGTCCAAGACTCAAACAGGGTCTCCCAGCTCCACCAACATATACATCCAGCTTAATGTGATGGAGACTTCAGCTTGGGCCCATTCTGGCATTATAAAAGCATCCTTGTCTGGGATCAACACTTGAAGTGTTGAAGCTACCCCTCCATAGGCAAACTCTAGCAAACCTGTAGATACTTTGCAAACTGTAGGGCAGAGGGAAAAAGGGGATGTTCTGGATGCAGTGATGAGCTGCCAAATTTACATGAAATCAGAGACTTATTTAAATGGAGGAAGAGTGCATGGGAAGGTGGTAGGAGTGGAAAAGGAGAAGGAAGCTGTCAGCAAACACCTGCCTGATCTGCTGTGGATACAAGGCTGTTATGATCTCTTAATTAAAGCTTTCCTTTCATCCTCAACTAATAACAGAGTAACATCCAAATGATATTCTAACTGTAGCAACTTACTTTCCACTGTTACAGAAACAAAGCAGTAAGAGAACAGTGTTACATGCTTAATCAGAAACAACAAAACAACTGTTTTCCCCCATCTCCAAAAGCGTGAAAGCAATTTTCTTCCTCCATCCCCCAGAATGTGATCAAGTTGATGCTTTTTCAAATCTTGTTTTAATCATACTCTCTTTTCTCATCTTGCCCCTCAGCCCATTCTCCAGAAGTGGGCCACAAAGTCATTTAAAGAAAAAACAAAACCAAAACAAGGTAGCTGGGATACTTTTTTTGGTGCTTGCATTGAGCTTCTAAAGAGACCATGAGCTTCAAGTGGTAGGATGTGTCTGATCAAGGAAACCTGGAGACCTTGTAACAGTCTTCCAATACCTAAAGGGAGCCTACAACAAATCTCGAGAGGGACTTTTTAGAAGGGCATGTAGTGACAGCTTTAAATTGAAAGAGGATGGAATTAGATTTGACATTAGGAAGAAATTCTTCACTATGAGGATAGTGAGACACTGGCACAGGTTGCCCGGAGGTGCTTTGGCTGCCCCATCCCTGGCAGTGTGCAAGGCCAGGCTGCACGGGGCTTTGAGCAACCTGGTCTAGTGAAAAGCGTCCCTGCCCATGGCAGGGGGTTGGAACTAGATGATATTTGAGGTCCCTTCCAACCCAAACCATTCTATGATTCTAGTAACTATGTTTAAAGCATGTGTGCATATGTGTTTGTACATTTTGGTACATGTAGAATATTTGAAGATCTGTAAGTGGATATGGTGCATAACATGTTTTCTGTAATGTTTCTGGAAAAGGTAATCAGTATAGAGAAGATGGAGGACACAAGCCTTCTCCCTAACCCCATCATTGTTAGCATAAGGAGCAAGACAGCCTTTCAGTTCATTGAGCTGAAGGACCGGGATACTTTGGTGGAGAATCTGCTCCAGAGGCTAAAAGAAGTGAACTCCAGCAACCCAGTGCACTGTAACAGCTTGCAAAATAAGAACCAGGTATTGAATTTCTGGATGTTTTTAGGATTATGAATTTAATGTGTTTATCCATTGGTCCATTGTCCTGTCTTCCTCTGGGGTTTGATCTTGGGCCAGTGCTGTGTGATGCCTTCTTAAAAGAGCTGCCTGATGGGGCGGAATGTACCCAGACCATGGGTGTGATTGACATGCATTGGGGAGCGGTGAATATAGCATCACAGAATGGTTTGAGTTGGAAGGGACCTTTAAAGGTCATCTACTCCATCCACCCGGCAGTGAGCAGGGATATGGTGGGGAGCAGGGTGAGGGACACCTCAACGATCTGGAGGAACAGGTTGACAGAGACCTTGGGAAGTTCAACAGAAGCAAATGCGATGTCTGGCAGAGTAATCCCATGCAACAGGAGGGGCTGGAGGATGGAGAGGAGCCATGTGGAAAAGGCGGGGGGGGGGGGGGGTGGGGGGGAGGGGGGGGGGGGGGGGGCGGTTGGGAGGTGTCATGGTGGACTACAACAGGTTGAGCTTTTATAAGTCAGCAGTGTGCTCATATCATGGAACGCCAAGAGCATATGGGGTTGTACTAGCAGGATTGTAAGCAGCCAGTCAAGGGATATTACTGGTCCCTTTCATTCAGCAGTTCTGAGGCTGATCAGCAGTACTGAGTTCAGTTTTGACTGTACCTCTCCACACAAGAAAAGCATTAACAAACTGGAGTAAGTCTGGTGGAGGGCTAAAAGATGATCGAGGAGATGTTGAGGGAGCAGGGCTTG